ACAAATTATAACTCGTGATTATTACCTACTAATCTACATCGCAACAATGGTTTTGATTCCTACGTGCCTGCTTCCAGGCTTTTGATTGGCTACTTATTAGAACATTATCTATGAGTGATAAACATATATTAGATCTGTTCACGTAGCAAAGCGCGTGCAGCTACTAAAAATCATGCAGAATGTACTGTTCGTATGTAAATATAAAGCATAGGCACAAGGTAAATTAACGTTATATAACAAACTTTGTTATTAGTTATTAGTGATCCTTCATCTTAAATATCTCTTGCTAATAAATATTATATTTTATATGGCAAAAATTTATGTTATTGACATTCTCACCATTCTTTTATCATATTTTTATGCCATTAAATCTTTTATCATATTTTTATGTTATTCAATTCATTAAATTTACACGTAAACAATGGGTAACAAAAAAAACCCCAAGTTATAAATAATGCACATAAAATAAATGTTCATAAATATACAATATCGAATCCCAGATTTCCAGTACTTGACTACAGTTTAGATAAAGAATATGATTGCGTTAGTTGTAATTTATATTAGCTGATTTATTTATTATTAAACTACGTTACATATTTATGTCTGACTTTGTTCATAAACTTCAAAAATTATTAGCATGGATTTTTCTTGAAAACATGGGGCTCAAACTTCTTTTCTCCAATCGAATCCATCTTAGAACTTGGTAACGCCGAAGTTCTTGATGTTGGGTAAGCTTTATACGTACCAATTTAGGAAATTGATATTTTTACACACCCTTATATGTGACATGATAAATTATGTATGCATAAAGATGATAATATTAGTGATGCAAAGAGAAAATGGGACACTTATTATTTAAATAAATAATCAATGATACCTATTTTCCCTTGGCGTCACTCATATGGTATGAGTACACATGTGACTTAATAGTGTAGAAGTGTCAAAAACGAGTATAAAACTTTATTAGTTCCTTATTTTGTTTATAAATATCTTATGCATCTTATTATTAATAAAGCTGTGGATTCGGCACGTGGATTTGTGATATGGTATTTGTTTATTGTAACGAAATTAATTAATTAAAGCCATGCAAATAAATAAAATTGTTTCTCGCTAACGGCCGGGTAACTTTTTTATTAAGTTAAAAATTTTTTTATATAAAACTTTTATTCTTGTATGAAAAAAAGTTTTATAAAAATTTTTATATGAAATTATTTTTTACATTTTTTGCTGACCGGCCGGGTCCTATTTGTCTATTCCATGTAACGAGAAACAACTAATTTAATTTGCATGGTCTAATGTTGAATTCTATTAATTTCATTTCTTTTAACACTTTAATTGTTTAATTTGAAGGCAAAAAACTATCCTCTTTCATATTTTACTGGAATTGATATTATAGATCCAAAATATTCTATGCTTTTAAACGTTTGCTTTACAAAAGGTGATGTCTTAAAAGGATTGCCATATCCAGATTGCTCTTTTGATTATATTCATATCAGAGCCCTGTTATGGTCACTTACGTCAAAAGATACTTCCAATAAATTATTTCCAGGTAAAATATTTACATTTAAAGGAAAATCATTATAATATTGCAATAATTAAATATAGCAAATGATGCAGAGATTAGATGATACTGTGGTGTTCTACTGAATTAAAAATTATTTAAATTTTTGTTAACAAACAGTCACAGGCCGAATGAAGGCAAATCGACATCACGTAATCTCAATATGAACCTGATTTGAAAAGATAAAGGGCGCAAACAGGAAAATTTTAGGATACATATCAGGTTCATATAGGCCGATAGCTCTATAGATAAATCGATAGAGCTATAAGGCAAGCTTTATCAAATTACCTATAGATCTATCGGCATTCCAAATATATTGAACGCTTATATGAACCTAATTTGTGTCCTAAAGGTCTCTTATTTGCACAAAATATCTGTTCAATTCAGGTTCATATCGAGATTACATGACGTAGGTTTGCTTTCATTTAACCTGCGAGTTATAATTCTAAA